AACAAGACACAGGTGAGGAGGGAGGAGAAAACACAGGGACACCAGGTGAACACAATCGGGTAATCAGACACACCAGGGAAACTAACGACCGGGAACCACAGACAGATTTAAACAAGACACAACGCAGACAGAAACAGGCAAGACAGGAAGTGAAGACCTTTCAACATAAAACATGAAACAAGACAAGACAAAACACCATAAAGACAGATCGTGACAGAAGCTTCAAAAACAATGCATGTAAAAAAACACAAATGTGCCAAAACTCATGCAGATTAAGAAACATCTTGACTTAACAGCACATGCAGCATCTAGAAAACATTCCAGCATTCACCGACTTGACGAAACGTGAGCAGCGTTTATCAAAAGCTCTGCAAACACAAAACGCTGCAAGAAACTCAAAGCTTGCAGCGTTTTGTTGATGCAGCGCTTGTAAACTATTGTAGCCTTTCTAATACGTCACACACGTACATTGAACCATGAATGAAAGCTTCAACACTATAGAGAACCGCAGTGACGCGTCCTCGAACCCGGAAGTAAGTTAGCCTTTTTACCACGTCCAGTTCCTTCGATAAAAAGCAATGGGATTTCTCCATAGGACTTTAGAAAATAGCTCCAACTAAGGTCTGTGGTTGAGACACATGGAAGAGACGGGTCACGTTTTGTTCTACGACATTAAATCCATCAGCAGAGACCCCACTGGTGATTTATGAAGAGTTTACGAGTCTGAAAAACGATGGTTGTTACCAAGTGGCTGAATAGGACTACAGAAGTTGTGGAGGCCGTTTTACGTCATTACGCCGAACACGTAAACACTCCTCTAAGTTAGTTTCTGTTCTGCTTGAAAGCAAGTCCCTGCCTCCTGCAGAGTGTTCAAACAAACGCTTCAACTCGTACCATTTAGAATCTGTATGTTTGAATATGGATCTTAAGTTGGCGTGACGTTGAAGCAGCGACCCTGCGGTAGTTCCTTTATAGCATAACGTTAGCATTTTGCTTCTGGCGACTAGATTTATGATTCGACAATCATAAAAGTAGGATAGACATGTGGAGATTATCCGGCTGAACAAAACGTGATCCGTCTCTTAAATGTGTTTCAACCACAGACCTGATTTCCAGCTATTTTCCAAAACCCTATGGAGAATTTGCATTGGTTTTCGACGAAGGAACTGGAAGGAGTTCACTTCCGGGTTTTAGGACGCTGTGGTTCTCTATATGCTGGGAACTTAAACCCCAAACGTGTAACCACCAGTCTATGGTAACCACTTATATCTGCTAAAGTTGTTGTTTTGGGAATATTGTATGATGGTGTGTGTAAAAATGTTTAAACGCAATGCATAAGTGAGAATGTAACTTCTTATAACGGTGTGCACATGTACAAATGTGTCTTTGAGTGTGTATATATAGGTATATACATATTTGCATACATATTTTTATATACTGTATATTTGTTTTTGTATTTGGGATTGTGGGAAACGGTATTTCGATCTCTCTGTCAGAACACAAACTGGAAGATTGACTTTGACTTAAGTTGTTGTTTTGGGAATATTGCATGATGGTGTGTGTGTGTGTGAAAATGTTCAAATGCAATCAAAAAGCGAGAATTTGACTTCGTAATAATGGATTTCTCTTCCCCCGTTTCTGTGGATTTCTTTGAAAATATTTCCTTGAAACCCCAAAACAAACATTTTCTACTTACAAATTCAAGTTTGGAGCAGACGGGGGTCATTTCATATTGTCCTTTTAGCCTTTTAAGAGAAACACTCCAACAGCTCGTTTGTAAAATAGTACATTTAACCCTTGTGTGCATGTTTTTTGCTTGTTTTCACACATTTCACAGCTCATTCTGATTTCTTGAGTTACCCACAGCCTCACAGTAAATCTCCCCCGTAGTAACCCAGTATGGAGCTTCATTCATTAAATAACCCACGAGCTAATAGCCGATGCCAAACCCTCTTGAGTTATTGTGCATTTTATTGAATTATTTCTCTTAAGACATGAGGGCTTGCCCGAGCCTGAGAGGAGGGGGGAGGGGGGAGGGGGGGGGGGATTAAATGAGCACAGCGTTCTCCTATCACGTCCCTGCAGATGCTCGGGTGTTGGATTACGATTTGTTGCAATGGATCCTGGGAATACTAGCTGTGAACAAATCACCAAACGCCACTTTTAAAATCCGGCAGGCTCTTTTCTTCAGGGGATAAATCAGCCCGGGGGGGGGTCAGAGGGTTCTTTTCTGGGTCTTTTTGCCTCTTGATGTTGAATTTTGATCTGTTGGTCTGACCCTCGTACTTTAGCACCACTATAAGAAGTGATTTTGTGTCTGCATGTCAAGCGAAAGTAGCCAATTAAGCTCTTTGTGGGCGACTTTGTGAAGCTTCACGCAGATGTCTAACTTAATCTGAGCTCGATAATAGCATCACTCCACATCAGGAACAATCCCAACATGAATTAATGCAAAACCACCAACTTTTGTATTATTATTTCTCCTTTTTAATACTTACGGTCAGCAGCCAAAACATTACTTTTATTACGATGCAATATGGATTTAATTCAATAAAATGCAAAACACTATAAATAGACGGAAATGAAAGATGTATGGTCTTGATGTAGCCGAAAGTAGAGGTTGATGTAAAACAAATGCAAGTTTTATGGATGAATTTAACGTCATATGTTGTTGCATTGTTGCTTCCCTGGCACTCTGTTTAATGATGCTCAATCCTGGATATTACTTTAAAAGCTTTGATATAGCAGATTGTATTGACCGGATCTTTATGCAAAATATTTCAACTTAATAAATATCTTCCTGGAAGCTTTTTATACCGGGAAACGTAGAGAAAATCAAGCATTTTACATTTTCCCTTTGTTTCGGGTATTGGGAAGAAGAAGTGAGTAGCTAGCATGAGCAGTAATAAGTTACTGATATACACCTGGACATCAGCAGGAGAGGACTCTTTAAAGTAGAGACACTACATACTGATATACACCTGAACATCAGCAGGAGAGGACTCTTTAAAGTAGAGACACTACATACTGATATACACCTGAACATCAGCAGGAGAGGACTCTTTAAAGTAGAGACACTACATACTGATATACACCTGAACATCAGCAGGAGAGGACTCTTTAAAGTAGAGACACTACATACTGATATACACCTGAACATCAGCAGGAGAGGACTCTTTAAGTAGAGACACTACATACTGATATACACCTGAACATCAGCAGGAGAGGACTCTTTAAAGTAGAGACACTACATACTGATATACACCTGAACATCAGCAGGAGAGGACTCTTTAAAGTAGAGACACTACATACTGATATACACCTGAACATCAGCAGGAGAGGACTCTTTAAAGTAGAGACACTACATACTGATATACACCTGAACATCAGCAGGAGAGGACTCTTTAAAGTAGAGACACTACATACTGATATACACCTGAACATCAGCAGGAGAGGACTCTTTAAAGTAGAGACACTACATACTGATATACACCTGAACATCAGCAGGAGAGGACTCTTTAAAGTAGAGACACTACATACTGATATACACCTGAACATCAACAGGAGAGGACTCTTTAAAGTAGAGACACTACATACTGATATACACCTGAACATCAGCAGGAGAGGACTCTTTAAAGTAGAGACACTACCTACTGATATACACCTGAACATCAGCAGGAGAGGACTCTTTAAAGTAGAGACACTACATACTGATATACACCTGAACATCAGCAAGAGAGGACTCTTTAAAGTAGAGACACTACATACTGATATAAACCTGAACATCAGCAGGAGAGGACTCTTTAAAGTAGAGACACTACATACTGATATAAACCTGAACATCAGCAGGAGAGGACTCTTTAAAGTAGAGACACTACATACTGATATAAACCTGAACATCAGCAGGAGAGGACTCTTTAAAGTAGAGACACTACATACTGATATACACCTGAACATCAGCAAGAGAGGACTCTTTAAAGTAGAGACACTACATACTGATCTACACCTGAAAATGAGCAGGAGAGGACTCTTTAAAGTAGAGACACTACATACTGATATACACCTGAACATCAGCAGGAGAGGACTCTTTAAAAGTAGAGACACTACATACTGATATACACCTGAACATCAGCAGGAGAGGACTCTTTAAAGTAGAGACACTACATACTAATATACACCTGAACATCAGCAGGAGAGGACTCTTTAAAGTAGAGACACTACATACTGATATACACCTGAACATCAGCAGGAGAGGACTCTTTAAAGTAGAGACACTACATACTGATATACACCTGAACATCAGCAAGAGAGGACTCTTTAAAGTAGAGACACTACATACTGATATACACCTGAACATCAGCAGGAGAGGACTCTTAAAGTAGAGACACTACATACTGATATACACCTGAACATCAGCAGGAGAGGACTCTTTAAAGTAGAGACACTACATACTGATCTACACCTGAACATCAGCAGGAGAGGACTCTTTAAAGTAGAGACACTACATACTGATATACACCTGAACATCAGCAAGAGAGGACTCTTTAAAGTAGAGACACTACATACTGATCTACACCCTGAACATCAGCAGGAGAGGACTCTTTAAAGTAGAGACACTACATACTGATATACACCTGAACATCAGCAAGAGAGGACTCTTTAAAGTAGAGACACTACATACTGATCTACACCTGAACATCAGCAGGAGAGGACTCTTTAAAGTAGAGACACTACATACTGATATACACCTGAACATCAGCAAGAGAGGACTCTTTAAAGTAGAGACACTACATACTGATCTACACCTGAACATCAGCAGGAGAGGACTCTTTAAAGTAGAGACACTACATACTGATATACACCTGAACATCAGCAAGAGAGGACTCTTTAAAGTAGAGACACTACATACTGATCTACACCTGAAAATGAGCATTATATGTCCTTTTTAACCACTGCTTCAAAAAGATATCCTAACAGTAAAGAAAGTTTGTGTGACTGACCTCGCCCGATGACCTGGTTGAGGTGGAGCAGCAGCTGGTCCCTGGTGATCACCACGTGCTGCACCTCTTTGAGCAGATCAGGGTGGAGGGAGGAGGGGTCGATGTGGACGGGGGCCATGAGGAGGGGAGACACCAGCTCTCCATCCATCCCTATCCCCATCCCTCCCAGTCTGGGGGACAGCAGCTCGCCGTTCCCCCCGTAGATCGGAGGAGCACCTCGGCACGTCTCAGGTCTGTCGGTGTTCTGATCTGGAGAGGCAGAAGACGGGGTTAAAGGTCAGCGGCTGTATCGGGGGGGGGGGGGGGGGGGGGTAAAGTGTGTTACAGGAGGAAACACAGCTACAAAGGAAAGAGGAACTTGACACTGAGCTGGGAATGTTTTTGATAATAATACTCTTTTTATTGTAATTTCTTTAAACATTCAGACACAACATACAACCGTATACGTACTCAAATGTGTGCAGAATAGTTACTGCACATATAACATACATCTCTCCATGGGTGACAATAATCTCACCTTAATCATGTAGCAAGATATCAATGTATATCTCAGCTTACATGCCAATTACTTAAATAAAAGCTCAGAGAGAGAATTCATAATCATAATGGCCTGAGGTGTGGTCCCACTCTACATTATTACACACCATGTATTCTATACAAATATCTGGGTGTAACGTCCCTTTAAACGCCTGCTTCCTTGTGTCTTGTCTTATTATATGTCTTGATGGATGCTGCAAATGAAGCTGCTTTGATGCAAGAAAAATGATCGGACAATAAAGTATTATCGTATTGCGTGTTAGTGGAAGAAGATAAGTGCAAAGCAACACCAATGTTATTCGAAGAAGGGGACAGGCATGGTTAGTGTAATTCATGACTGTGTATGTATTTCAACCACTACTCTCCCTGAGGAAAGGCTCATTAGTAAGTCTACCTGCTCACATTGTCTGTCTTTCAAGTCACTTTTTAACAGGAAAATTGCCTCAGCCATCATACTTAGGATCAGAATACATGCAGACCCCCTCACATGCCCTCAGGATTAATGCTCAGGAAACTAAAACCACAGGTGAGTCTTTAGACCACCTCCATGTCTCATTTGGCCGTTTTTCTTGTTGTGCTGCCACTTAATTACATATATGTGTTAGAACACGTCAAATAAACATTGAATATAACACGACAGGTGCAGAAGCGAGGATGCTTTTCCCTTTTCTCTACACATTAACTCATGGAAGTTTAGGACATTTTACGTCCATTTATTTTTGTATTGAAAAGCCATAATTTGCAAAATACAAGCTGTTATTATCAAAGGTTTACTTTGGACTGTGCAACTAGATTTCTATCTATTAACATCAGCAAAAGTTCCACTTGTAATTTATTAAATGACTCCTTGTAATATGAAATGAAGAACTTGAAGTTACTTAGTCAAAAAGTAAAATAATTGTATTTGAATTTAGTTTTATTGCCGACAAAGTCTGCTTTCATCAACTTTGTTTACGACACAACAGGAACATTCAGATGAATCTACACCAGGGTAAGTGAACAATTATTTGATTAGTTTTGATACTGAAGAAAACATCTAATAAAGACCCATTTAGCTATCGCTGTTGTGTTCCAGGCGTCTCCCCGGCAAACTTTCAAGAGCAAGCGAGCTCTTGAAACCCTAACCCCTAACCCCTAACCCTAACCCTAAGGCGGGGCTGTCAGCATCAGCTGGGTGCTTGGCTTGCTGTTTAAAACACCTTTTTTTGTATCCATATCTCTCGCTAGAATCTCCCACCATCCAACTAACAACAACAACAACAACAACAACAACAACAACAACAACAACAACAACAACGTCAAGCCTTTGGGCACTGAAACTACGGGGCGGGCCGAGGACAATACACATGCGTTAATCGCACGATAAAACGCGTTAACTTGACAGCCCTAATTCTAAGCAAATGCATGGATGTTTATACAGTATAAACTTCAGAGGGGACACTGTCAAGGAAAGAGTTATATTTAGTTTGTAGATACATCTGACGGAATGAACTTCAGTCTTTTTTACATTTCATGAACTTATAACTGTTAGTTTTGTGTTGGAGTGTTAGTTTTTGATTCAAATTGCTTCAATCATATGCAATTTCATTTCCTTAACTCACATTTCCTAAAGGCTAATCGTGTTAGTAGAGAAGAGGTAAGGCATGCACCGCTAGCTTTAGCAGGGAGGGAAGCAGGTAGATGGGGGTCAGGTGGGGGAGGGGGAGGGGCTTATCTGGATGACCTACCATCCAGCAGGGTGGTTCTATAGTCGACGGACTCGTGGGAGACCATCTCGTTCGTGGGGCTGACGCTCCTCGCGTTAGCCAGCCGGTCCAGATGCTGTATGTGACCCCGGCCATCATACCACACCTCAGACAGATCTACAAGAGAGGAGGAGGAGGAGGAAGAGGGGGGAGGATGAGGAGGGAGGAAGCGCGTGTAAGGAAAGGAGAGAAGGAGAGGAAGGGAGGAAGAGAGGAGAGATTATAAGAAAGGCAAAGCGTTTCACCAATGCGCCCCAAAAATCGACTTCCTGTGAACCCAGGAGGAAACGTGAACCCAGCACACATGCACACAGGTTAGAGGACACGCTGCAGTCCAGCTACATGTACGCAAATATATCACACACAAATACCCACACATCAAAACAAAGACTGCATACTATACATTACGCACGTTAATAGGATACAGTTTAATGTTCCTTCACTGACTGTTTACCTCCATTTACATTAAAGAAGTGTTTCTAAATAACTTTTTTATCTTTGCTAGTACATTTCCCTCACCATGTCTTAGTATTTGTTGCTTTAAACTTCATAGGCATCATATTCCAAAATACAAAAGATATGAACTATTTCTTATCCCTGATAATGCATTACATCCATGAATTCATTACGCATGTCATGTGCCTTTAAAGGAGGGGTAAGTTTGAGAAACCGGCTCGAGATACACTTGTTATATTCCATGGAATGCTCTTAACATCCCGATAGCAATGAATATCTGAAGTGCTTTGACAAAAAATCTATAAAAAAGTCATCTGTGGAAGCCGTGGCGCTGTAAAAAGCACGACCAATCCTCTGAGCCGGCTAAAGTAACTGGATGGCCTACCTGCCTGTCAGCCCTCCATCTGGGCACAAACTTATCTCGTGCCCTCATTGGTCATGTGTGCGTTCGTGTGTGTTGGAGGAGGGGCTCTGATTGGAAGTGGCAGATTTCTTCCAGCTGTGTATTTTCAAATTCTATCGCACTCGAGCTGGTTTCTCCAAAATGACCTACCCCACCTTTAATGTCTATTTTCCATCTTGATTCACATTCTTTTTTTTAATACACTTTTTACGATTAACATATTCTTTATTGCCTGATTCTGACTTGTGCTTCCTCCAAATATAAAAAATGCACTCAATTTGTTAATTTTCTAATATAGTCGCTGAAAACATTTCACAACCTAACCAGACTTTTGACCTGACTGACAAGTAACATTTCAAGACATCATGACAAAGACCTGTGAAATCAAAACCAGTCGGTCACTGTCTTACATTAAAGTATACGATTCCAGAAGTCTCTACAGTGATCTGTGTACGATGTGAATAGTTAAAGGCAGCGGCAAAAAGAAAAGTCTTCAGCCTGGATGTAAAAGTAGTCAGAGTTGCAGCGGACCTGCAGGTTTCTGGGAGTTTGTTCCAGATATTTAGCCATCTCTTCTCACATTCCTCTACCCCTAGTCTCACCGTCGATGTGCTTGTTCCTCCTCCACAGCAGCAGAGACCCCAGCAGCAGCAGTAGCAGCAGCAGCAGGCTGACGGACACGCAGCCCACCTTCAGCCCCGTGTAGTCCGGCTCCTTGGCCAGCGTCACCGTGCCCAGCTGCAGGATGGAGCCCGCCTGACGCCACTGAAAAAAAGAGGGGAGATTATTTGAGAATACATTTTATAATTATTATTGTTTGTTTTGTTTCTAACATGTTAACCCAGCCAAATCTTTGTTCTTGTTTTGTGTCTATATCTACGGCGGGATCCGGAGTCGAGGCTGATCCTCTTGCTGTAGTCCTGTGTCTTGGATCCTCTATCCTGAGTTCTGGATTAAGTCGTGGACTTTGAGTCGTGGCTGAACCTGTCTCTGCGGTCCTGCCTTGGGTCTCGCCATGCTGCTTCCCTGATGGCTTCCACAGGATTGTAGCTGACATCCTCGTGGATTCATCTTCTTATTACAGACACGTGCATTTCCTAACATTCGGTCTATATGCTGTAAAATGTATTATCTCTTCGATTTACACACGGCATCTATTGCACGTCTGTCCGTCCTGGGAGAGGGATCCCTCCTCTGTTGCTCTCCCTGAGGTTTCTCCCATGTTCCCTTTAAACTGTGGGTTTTCTCTGGAAGTGTTTCCTTGTACGATGTGAGGGTCTAAGGACAGAGGGTCTAAGGACAGAGGGTCTAAGGACAGAGGGTCTAAGGACAGAGGGTGTCGTTTTTCTCATACTGATATTCTGAACAATCTGTGCTGTTGTATTTGCTGTAAAGTGTCTCTACTGTGGGCTATTTTTATTATATGTACAGCACTTTGGCTCGACCAAAAATCGTTTATAAATGTGCTATATAAATAAAACTTGATTTGATTTGGTCTGGGTTAGCAGGGAAATGTGAAATCTGCAGCCTCTACGCCGCAGGAGGCAGCTTCAGTCACTGTCATGTCTTTATTAGGACGAGGGCTAGACAACGTGTTTTTTCATTGTTGGATCGTCTTGGTTTTAAACGCTGAAGTTCACTAAATTCATGTGATTATTCGAAATGGAAACAGAATTTAAGCTTTTAGTTTATTAGTCAATAAAAAGACTATTAATTATTTATCAAAATTCTTCTGTGTAAATATGTTGTGTAAGCATCACTGGTCGAATCTACTTTATGTGACGTGCTCTATCAAAACCTGTTACACACTGTTGGAAAGACGAGACTCTTAGCTTGTCAGAGATACCCTTACTGTGGGATTCTCCAAATACTCAGCAACATATTTCACAATGACTATTCGACCTTCACAGTTTGGACCATTTCATAGCCATAGATATTTTACTCCAGGTTTAATATTTGAGGGGAATAGCGCCCCTTGCCCCCCCCCCCCTAGGATCAGCACTGCAAACAGACAGCAAAGTTTGTGAGTGTTACTATCAGCCTGTCGACGCAGTGAGGGAAGGGGGCCGCTGATCAGAGACAGGGATCACTGCTCTCTCTTTACAAGATTCAAATATGTATTTCTCGTCTGAATATGGGGATACAAGTTTGATATTCTGAGAGCCAAGACTTTGTTTAGGATCGACCGAAACCCTAAACTGACCAAAACGTTTGTTTTTCACATAAATATTTTTTTTTTGGGAATGCACGTCACATATTTTCACAAGAGCGATATTGAATAAACAATAGGCTGAACCGATACACACAGAACGTCGACCATGGCATATAATCTAACATATACACACACCATGTATACATCACTTCAGGGGACATTACATTGACTTACATGCATTTCCTGGAGACTTATCCTAACCTTAACCATAACCAACACATGCCTAACCCTTACCCTAAACCTAATCCTAACCCTAACCAAGTCTTCACCCTAAAATTAATGATTCCCCTCATGGGGATCTCCAATTTGTCCCCATGAGGGAAGCCAGTCCCCACACGTGACTATGTAAACAGATGTAGGTCCCCACAAGTATAGTAATGCTAGACCACACACACACACACACACACACACACACACACACACACACACACACACACACACACACACACACACACACACACACACACACACACACACACACACACACACACACACACACACACACACACACACACACACACACACACACACACACACACACACACACACACACACACACACACACACACACACACACACACACACACACACACACACACACACACACACACACACACACACACACACACACACACACACACACACACACACACACACACACACACACACACACACACACACACACACACACACACTTTTTTTACTATAATATATTAATCCACATTCGTTTTTGAAGTGACTGTTATTTTGTGTTTTTTGACTGTTGTGCCTTTCTTTATGCCTCCTAATGTGTGCATTGTAGATACAGTATGAGTCTATGTTGATTATGAATGTGTGTGTATACATATATATATTATATATATATATAAGTGGGTGTAGAGTAGGGCTGAACGATTAATCGATTTTAAATAGAAATCGCGATTCGAAATAATGCGATTATGAAATTGCAAAGCCTGCGATTTTTTAAACTTTTTTTTTTTGTAAGCTTAGTTATTTCACTCGTAGCTCAGGCTGCGGGGGTGCTAGAGACGGGAGCATGTTGATGCGACCTTCCTAGCCAGAGATATGGCCGCATTTTACAATAAACTTCCGTTGGGTCGCTTCAAAACAAATATCACAAATCGAATCGCAATATCTGTCCGAAAAATCGTAATTAGATTTGTTCCCAAAATCGTGCAGCCCTAGTGTGGAGGTGTGTATGTGTGTGTTTACATGTTTGTATATCTTTTTTTGTATTTTTTTGAATACTCGTGATCGTGAGAAACAGTATTTCGATCTCTCTGTCTGTACACACAAACTGAAAGATTGACAATGAAGTTTGACTTTAATCTTCCAAAGTGAAAGGGGAAATAGCAAGAAAGGCCTGCAAGCTTTAAATGTCTCTTTTAAACCTTCAATGTTCCCACAGGTGATAAATGTCCCTCATGTTCGGACCCTCATTGTTAACAGACTGAGGCTGTTTGATTTCATTGAAGTGACAGGACAGCTGGATGCTGAGCGCCTCACTCCTCACACAGCACCATAAACTCGCTCTGCGTTTGATACAAAGCTCTGCCTCGGTACAGCAGAGTCCCTGAAGCTCCCTGCAAATGATCTGGAACGCTGCAGGAATGTTTTGGTGTTTTCCACGAGTTTCCCACAGCGCAGAATGAAGAGCTAAATGTGGCCGACGGACGAAAGAAGCTCATATATTAGCGTTAACCCGAAACCCAAAGTTATTATTTAATTAAACCTGAGCCAGAAGGATGTTACAAATGTTTTTATCATATTCAAATTAAATGAATATACTACAAATCATCCTGTTTTGTAAAATTACTATTAAAAGTATTTCATTCAGATTGAGTAAAATACAGAAGCATAAAAATAGAGTCATTTGATCTCTTATGGAGCCTTTTAGATTTTAGAGTGGTCAAACTCTTAATATGGGACAAGATAATTCCTGGGTTTAAAGAAAACACTGTCTATTTAATCATTTAAAAAAACAAATGTGTCTTGGATGAAAGTTTAAAAGGAAAACATGTTAATTAACGCACTGTTTGTTAAAAGTACAGGAATGTTTTCACTGCTCTCCATCACTGGAACAGAAAGCTGTTTGCATAGCGTCGGCTCTCTACTTCAAAAGGATGGGGAGCTAATTCCCTAACATAATAATCTACACACACACACACACACACACACACACACACACACACACACACACACACACACACACCACACACACACACACACACACACACACACACACACACACACACACACAACACACACACACACACACACACACACCACACACACACACACACACACACACACACACACACACACACACACACACACACACACACACACACACACACACACACACACACACACACACACACACACACACACACACACACACACACACACACACACACACACACACACACACACACACACACATCCTGTCACCACTGACATATTGTCCTGGTGTAGCTTCCCTGCGTGTTGACAGCAGAAAACAAATTCAGTTTGTGTGTGTGTGGGGGGGGGGTGTGTGTGTGTTTATATGGGTGTGTGTGTGTGTGTGTGTGTGTGTGTGCGTGTGTGTTTATATGGGTGTGTGTGTGTGTGGATGTGTGACTGGGTGTGGATGTGTGGTTGGCTGATTGTCACTATAATTTAAATGCTGGGTTAATTAAAACGAAAGTGTATTTGTTGACCAACTGTTGCACAGGCGTGTGTGTGTGTGTGTGTGTGTGTGGTGTGTGTGTGTGTGTGTGTGTGTGTGTGTGTGTGTGTGTGAGTGGTGAGCGTCTCACCTCCACCTTCATGGCGGCGTTGCTCTGCAGCTCGTTGGGCACGGTGCAGCGCAGAGTGTTCCCCGTCAGGATCAGACTCTCACAGCTGTGGTTGGACACCGTCAGCACCTGGCACTTCATCGCCTCCCGGTCCATGTGGGCGCCCTGTGGGAGGAGGGGAGGAGGGGGAGGAGAGAGGGGGAGGAGGGGGAGGAGAGAGGGGGAGGAGAGAGAGGAGAGAGGGGGAGAGGGGGGAGAGGGGGAGAGTGGGAGAGGGGGAGAGGGGGAGAGGGGGAGAGGGGGAGGAGAGTAAGACATTGGGTCAATATTTGCAAAAGTATTGTCAAAATTACCACAGACATTCACAAAAGGTCAAATGTCAGTTCATCCAGACAGTAGATGGAAACACATAATGGTTTCCTTTCTAAGGTAGGCGGGCAACAGAATGCATGTAAGGGGGGAGGGGGAGGAAAGAGGGTGAGATGGAGAGGAGTTCGAGGTAAAGAGAGGTAAAGGGAAGGAGAAAGGGAGATACAGCAATCGTCAAATATTGAGACAAAATGTCAGAGCATCCAGACAGTCGATGGAAACAAATGGTTTCATTTCTGAGGTAGGGTGGCAACAGAATATACACACATGCTAAATAACAGGAACATTTAAAAGCTCATTGCATGCCAGCAGATATTGGACCGAGTCATTGTAGAAGTAGGTTTCAAGTTTTTGCACTCGAGTCCAAATCAAGACAAGGCAAGAAAGTCCAGATTTAAGTCTAAAACAATGTATATTAGGACTTAAAAGAGTTTAATCAAGTCTATATTGTTGTTGACCACTGTTGAGTGTATAAGCCAACACAAATTATCCTTTGTCTCGTTGTTCCCACGTAGCGTTAGTTCTTCATGGTTCTCTCCTTCAATGTCATTGGAGGTTGTCTGTCTGTCAACTCGCTGGAAATGAGAAGCGTTATCTTTTCTTTCAGGAAATGAAGGGGGATTCATTTATCCGAGGCACACGTTATAATATTTGGGATGGAGTATCTCAAAGTCAAAAGGCTTAAGGAAAAAGGGGAGTCACCAGTCATTGTTTTTAAAGTTTGAGTCAAGATGCATGCATCTTTTGTCAAGTTTAAAGTCACCAAATCTGTGACTTGAGACGACACTCGAGCCCTGCCTGGAGGTTTTAGAGGAACCTTATTCATCATACTAAAGTCCCAAGGTAACTGTGCCTGCATGGAGCTCAGACTGAGGCTTTGACCCTGATGCCCAGTAACTCACTATATATGGACATCCTGTACACGGTCTGTTGCATAAAGTCTAAAGTGGAAGATGCAGACTGCTGGAGAGGATGGCAGGAGTGGAGGGACTTCTTTAATACAAAATCCCAGGGCACATGAATGATTTCTTTGCAGGTTACACACCTCTAACAGTCACACTCTTCAAAGTGTACTTGTGCGGCAGCTTTTAAACTATTGAAAGGGGCAACATAGTCACTTGTTTGTGTGTGACTGACCCGAGCTTGCGCCTCGTCGTTCTGATAGCTCCGCCCCTTCGCTCCAACCCCCCCCCCCCCTCCCCCACATCTACAGGTGAAAATTACTTTTGCGACACATTCATAGCAAGAAGTGTAGCAAAGTCAAGACCGCAGATTCGTGGATTTATACTGCCACAGAGCAGATTCGTCAAGTTGTAATGACTGATTTGAGAGGTTGTAATAATATGTATTTTTCTGCAAGTGAACATTTCATCACTAAGTTAATTTTTTTTCTACAAGCTACAAAACTTGTTTTCTGCTTCTGTGACTTCAAATGTGGTTCACAGTTACGTGGATATTTCATACAAGTGTAAATGTATGCACACAAGCTCAGATTCTTTTTCTGCAAGTGCTCACATCAGGTTTTACATGCTCTCGCATTTTGCACCATAGCTACCTTCATAGGCGGGACCTTTAAAAGGACAGTAAGTGACGGGGTAACACGACTTACATGTTTTTACTGTCTTAAGCCATATTTTAGTAACTCCTTCATCTAGTTTACTATCCGGCTCCAAAATAATGGGACAAACTCTCCATGAACGGTTCAACACATCTTCTGTCCTTTGTTTACTTCCTCAACATAGTGACATGACTGTGTAACAGTCCCGCTTCTATTGGCTACTCTCCAACACATTGTACGTGATAGGCTAAGGGGCGGGACATCTCTAAGCGGTTGACCAATCACAACAGAGCTGGCCAGCTAACCAATCAGAGCAGACTGGGCTCTGGTTTCAGACAGAGGGTGAAAAGCACAGGCAGTATGAGCAGTAAGAGCTTTTTGAAACATTAAAGCATGGAGACATGTAGAGAACACTACATACTGATATACACCTGAACATCAGCAGGAGAGGACTCTTTAAAGTAGAGACACTACATACTGATATACACCTGAACATCAGCAGGAGAGGACTCTTTAAAGTAGAGACACTACATACTGATATACACCTGAACATCAGCAGGAGAGGACTCTTTAAAGTAGAGACACTACATACTGATATACACCTGAACATCAGCAGGAGAGGACTCTTTAAAGTAGATACACTACATACTGATATACACCTGAACATCAGCAGGAGAGGACTCTTTAAAGTAAAGACACTACATACTGATATACACCTGAACATCAGCAGGAGAGGACTCTTTAAAGTAGAGTCACTACATACTGATATACACCTGAACATCAGCAGGAGAGGACTCTTTAAAGTAGAGACACTACATACTGATATACACCTGAACATCAGCAGGAGAGGAACTCTTTAAAGTAGAGACATTACATACTGATATACACCTGAACATCAGCAGGAGAGGACTCTTTAAAGTAGAGACACTACATACTGATATACACCTGAACATCAGCAGGAGAGGACTCTTTAAAGTAGAGACACTACATACTGATATACACCTGAACATCAGCAGAAGAGGACTCTTTAAAGTAGAGACACTACATACTGATATACACCTGAACATCAGCAGGAGAGCACTCTTTAAAGTAGAGACACTACATACTGATATACACCTGAACATCAGCAGGAGAGGACTCTTTAAAGTAGAGACACTACATACTATAACACCTGACATCAGCAGAGAGGACTCTTAAAGTAGACACTACATACTAATACACCTGAACATCAGCAGGAGAGGACTCTTTAAAGTACAGACACTACATACTGATATACACCTGAACATCAGCAGGAGAGGACTCTTTAAAGTAAAGACACTACATACTGATATACACCTGAACATCAGCAGGAGAGGACTCTTTAAAGTAGAGACACTACATACTGATATACACCTGAACACCAGCAGGAGAGGACTCTTTAAAGTAGAGACACTACATACTGATATACACCTGAACATCAGCAGGAGAGGACTCTTTAAAGTAGAGACACTACATACTGATATACACCTGAACATCAGCAGGAGAGGACTCTTTAAAGTAGAGACAATACATACTGATATACACCTGAACATCAGCAGGAGAGGACTCTTTAAAGTAGAGACACTACATACTGATATACACCTGTACATCAGCAGGAGAGGACTCTTTAAAGTAGAGACACTACATACTGATATACACCTGAACATCAGCAGGAGAGGACTCTTTAAAGTAGAGACACTACATACTGATATACACCTGAACATCAGCAGGAGAGGACTCTTTAAAGTAGAGACACTACATACTGATATACACCTGAACATCAGCAGGAGAGGACTCTTTAAAGTAGAGACACTACATACTGATATACACCTGAACATCAGCAGGAGAGCAATCTTTAAAGTAGAGACACTACATACTGATATACACCTGAACATCAGCAGAAGAGGACTCTTTAAAGTAGAGACACTACATACTGATATACACCTGAACATCAGCAGAAGAGGACTCTTTAAAGTAGAGACACTACATACTGATATACACCTGAACATCAGCAGGAGAGCACTCTTTAAAGTAGAGACACTACATACTGATATACACCCTGAACATCAGCAGGAGAGGACTCTTTAAAGTAGAGACACTACATACTGATATACACCTGAACATCAGCAGGAGAGGACTCTTTAAAGTAGAGACACTACATACTGATATACACCTGAACATCAGCAGGAGAGGACTCTTTAAAGTACAGACACTACATACTGATATACACCTGAACATCAGCAGGAGAGGACTCTTTAAAGTAGAGACACTACATACTGATATACACCTGAACATCAGCAGGAGAGGACTCTTTAAAGAAGAGACACTACATACTGATATACACCTGATCATCAGCAGGAGAGGACTCTTTAAAGTAGAGACACTACATACTGATATACACCTGAACATCAGCAGGAGAGGACTCTTTAAAGTAGAGACACTACATACTGATATACACCTGAACATCAGCAGGAGAGGACTCTTTAAAGTAGAGACACTACATACTGATATACACCTGAACATCAGCAGGAGAGGACTCTTTAAAGTAGAGACACTACATACTGATATACACCCCGAACACCAGCAGGAGAGGACTCTTTAAGTAGAGACACTACATACTGATATACACCTGAACATCAGCAGGAGAGGACTCTTTAAAGTAGAGACACTACATACTGATATACACCTGAACATCAGCAGGAGAGGACTCTTTAAAGTAGAGACACTACATACTGATATACACCTGAACATCAGCAGGAGAGGACTCTTTAAAGTAGAGACACTACATACTGATATACACCTGAACATCAGCAGGAGAGGACTCTTTAAAGTAGAGACAATACATACTGATATACACCTGAACATCAGCAGGAGAGGACTCTTAAAGTAGAGACAATACATACTGATATACACCTGAACATCAGCAGGAGAGGACTCTTTAAAGTAGAGACAATACATACTGATATACACCTGAACATCAGCAGGAGAGGACTCTTTAAAGTAGAGACAATACATACTGATATACACCTGAACATCAGCAGGAGAGGACTCTTTAAAGTAGAGACACTACATACTGATATACACCTGAACATCAGCAGGAGAGGACTCTTTAAAGTAGAGACACTACATACTGATATACACCTGAACACCAGCAGGAGAGGACTCTTTAAAGTAGAGACACTACATACTGATATACACCCTGAACATCAGCAGGAGAGGACTCTTTAAAGTAGAGACACTACATACTGATATACACCTGAACATCAGCAGGAGAGGACTCTTTAAAGTAGAGACACTACATACTGATATACACCTGAACATCAGCAGGAGAGGACTCTTTAAAGTAGAGACACTACATACTGATATACACCTGAACATCAGCAGGAGAGGACTCTTTAAAGTAGAGACAATACATACTGATATACACCTGAACATCAGCAGGAGAGGACTCTTTAAAGTAGAGACAATACATACTGAGATACACCTGACATCAGCAGGAGAGGACTCTTTAAAGTAGAGACAATACATACTGATATACACCTGAACATCAGCAGGAGAGGACTCTTTAAAGTAGAGACACTACATACTGATATACACCTGAACATCAGCAGGAGAGGACTCTTTTGACTAATGCACCATCACCTACTTTATATCTGTTGGAAATAAGTTTAGAAAAGTCCATGAGTGGAGCAAATAGTGGCAGATTTAATAATGATTCATAGTATTTATAATAAAGTTTGCTGCTTCCTAATATGAGTAACACAGAACAGTGCATTCTAGTCATGTGACCTCCAGTGGGACGATAACACCCCCTCTGACTGAGATCTGACTGGAAACACACACAGCGCTTGTCCACGTGAGTGTGTGTAACCGAGTTAGAGAGTGTGTGTGTTGTTTGAGGGGAACATCGCAGCCTAATTTGTCCTTTTTCTCGGCTCTCACACACTTTTTGTTTTTCTCTTCTCATGCCCTCTCAGCTCTGTCTCTCACACATAAACACACTTGTCTGAGTGCAGCAGAAGGCAATAAAGAGGACGATCACATTCCCTGCGTGACAGATGGGATTTTCCAATTTGACACAGAGTGGAGGCTCACACCTGTCACACACACACACACACACACACACACACACACACACACACACACACCACACACACACACACACACACACACACACACACACACACACACACACACACACACACACACACACACACTAAATGTTGGGAAGATAATTGGAGATTGGATGCTTCACAGTCTCCCATAAAGCGACCTACAGCGATAAGAGCATGGCGTTTCTCCAAAACCAACACAACGGCTCGTTTAAAGCGCCGCCACGCTGGTGGGGGCTGTCACTCAACAATATTCCTTTATTTGTCTTTTATCGGCAGCCATTTTTGGGGCTTGAGTTATCAGATGGCGCTAAATGAGCTCCTTTAGGAGGCCATGACAGGGCAGGGTTATCGGATGGCGTTAAATGGGTTTTAGTGAGATGCCTGTGGTACCTTCCCCCCCTGGGTAAGGGGCTTGTCTGGGATGAAGGAGGGAGGGAAAGAGTTTTTGGTGGATTTAGCATCAGGGCCAAGGTCACGTCTGGGAAAAAAAAGCAGGAGGTTTCCTGCAGCGAGAGGTTTCAGCACAGCTGCCTCAAACCGTCCAGCAGCAGTCAACAGAAACATGGAAGAAAGAAAGAATATGTCTTGCATTGTGTTCCTAAAACGGGCTCTGGGGGAGGTTTGAAACGCAGCGTTAAGATGTCAAGGGCTTCGACCTCGCAGCAGAACAATGCAAGTCAACAGAGAGAATACAGGGAGAGGTTGGGGAAGTAAACGATGGGAAACAGACTTTACTTCCTGTTTTTCTTTCAGTATTGTTTCCTTCCACACTTGACCCGGACTATAGATGACTGCATGTGAACGTGGGGACTGGGAGCCAGAGAGCAGGAGAGTGAACATGAACCTGGGTCTATTAGGGGAAAATAACTATATGTACTCATCTGAGGTACTAGTACTTTACCATAGTATTCTCATTTCATACTACTTTACACTTTTACTCTACTAGAATGTTTCACTTTTGACTCAATTGCATTTATTTTACAGATTTATTTTCTAGAATTCCGATTTTGACAAACAAAACTTAGGAAAACACTTTTCAAATATTATAATTTGGTATAGATAATACTTTTGCCAACATTGCCTGGATCCTAACTGTGCAATTTGTCAACAACATACCTAATTTTATTATTTTGACTGATATAGCAATTGGAAATCCTTCACAATATTCAAGAGATTGATAATTTCTTCGTCATTACTGCCATTAATAAACGATATGTTGCATATTTGTCAGAGTGCTGCAGGGGTGTCTGTAGTTGACTTGCTCCTTCTGTTCTGCAAAGCACTTCTGAAGCTTTTTCTAAATTTGCTACAGCTCACACATGGAGATGTTCTTACTTTACAGCATTGAACTCTGAGTCTTGAGTTTCTGCACCTGTTTCTCTGGCCCTTTGTTTCTTGAGCAACATGTTTAATCGTTTCCAAAGGATGCAGTTCTGTTTTGTGATATTTCTTCAAACGTTAGGGTAAGAGAAAACGACAATTAAAGTCACTTTTTTTAGCAGCTGGATGTTCGTAGTCTCACCTTGAGCACCACGATGCTCTTGTTGTCCTTGGAGGTGAGTTTGGGGTCCTGGAAGTGAGGATCCTCCACGTAGATGAGGTCCCACTGATCCGTTAGGTATCCGTCCAGAACGAACGCCATCTTGGTGACGACGGGCGGCTGCAGGGCCAGTTTGGCCAGAGAGGGGGTGCTGCACTGGATGGAGGTCCGGTTCTCCCCGTACACACAGCTCTGCACAAACACACACACACACACACACACACACAACATGAAAAACTGGACTTCAGCAAATACAGGATTCATGCTTTGACATATTTAATTAACAACTGCTGCCTTAAGAGCAGAAGATAGGCACAGTTAAAGAGATTTGTATTGTGTTATCAATCTCATTTCTAGCCAACTTTTGCAAACCAAACTAAAGCTTGTATATTTAAGTGTACATTCATACTTTTATAAGATGCTTTTTCCTATTCTTATACGTATGCAAGGGAAATATGTCATCACACAGTCTGTCGTTGAGCATATTGACTACATTGTACATTAAACAGGCATTTTGAAAGACATATCAAGGTTTAGGAGCTGTGAAAAAGAGTCAGTGGATGCATTGATTTGGTCTATGACCTGGCACGTAAGGACGCGTCTAGCAACAACAAAAGCAAGAAGACAACATCCATTGAATGTTAATGTGTCATTAGACCTCAGTAAAGCATTGTATTAGATTAACTTTTTTGATATGGGAAATGGTTTCACCAAAGCAGCATGTGAACAAGGCTTTGCATCTGTATTTAAAAATAAATAAATTGAGATTCTGGACAGTATGAAAACTTCCTGCACCCTCAAACAATGTCAAGAAAGAAGTCCTGAACATAATCCAGTAAAAAACATTGGTGGTCTGACCTCTGCCCTCTGCCCCTAACCCTCAGTTTATTTTTAATACTTCCTATATTTTGTAAAGCACTTAAACTTTAAACAAATAAATAAATTCAACCCTCATATAGTCTTTTGCACTATATCTTAATACTTCTAATATTTATTATACAGCACTAGACTTGTTGTTGAATTAAACTAGTCTTGCCTATAATTCCTTCATATCAAAAACAAAACCAATTGAGATTCTAAGATTCAAGAGTAAAGTATCAGTATGAAAACTTCCTGCACCCTAAAACAATGTCAAGAAAGAAGTCCCGAACATAATCTCGTAAAAAACATTGGTTGTCTGACCTCTGCCCTCTGCCCCTAACCCTCATAGTTTATTTTTAATACTTCCTATATTTTGTAAATCACTTAAACTTTAAACAAATTAAACTTGCCTAATTCCTCCATACCAAAAAAGACAAACCCCTATTAAAAGCCAAAACTGATCCTAATCCAGATCTTTTCAGAACCTGATCCGACACTTAAAAAGGTCTCTTGCAGAAGTGAACAACAAAAATATCTCCACACACTGTATTCCCACTCTTAAAGAGCCACCCATCATCACCTCCACCTTCAGAGCAGAGACTCTTCACTCCGTCACTATGCAGTAATCCTCCGCTTCTTGTATGCAAAGCACTGCGGTGTTTACTCGCTCGGCCCGGGGGCACAACAGGGTTTTCTATCCCGTGTTGGATCCAGCCCACGTTCAGTAAGCCTCGCTGCCTTTGTGCTCATTCAGAATCCCCCGGTGAGAGACACAAAGTCCTCTTTTATTGGGGTGTGTCGTCTCGTCTCAAGGGAACACAGGTATCAGACAGCGGGGTTTAATTCTTCTGTGTTTACACGGCACAGTGAGAAAGTATTTCCTATACAACAGTGTGTGATTACTTCAAATGATCACTTATGACCTACTAGAAGTGTGTGTTGTGCAGAGACCCTAGAGACCTCTGCTCAAATGTTCTCTTTTCTTATTCATTTTGCTGTGTTTTGGTCTTTTTTCGTCATTAATATCTATATATCGAAGTACTAGAGGCCATATCATAAGCAAGCATCGAAGAGAATGATACAACATGGCACACAGCGCTGATTAAATGCAAATACAGCACAATTAAACACGAAAAACAAGAGTAAATCTGGGGCAGAGGTCGCGTTAACCGAATATTTTCCGTCTATGACGGATTTTTTTTAACAATGACGGACAAATCTGAAAGCAGTCCGTCATTTTGACAGATTAGAACAAACTCGGAACAGCACCAAAGTTCCCCCGCAGCGAGGTTCCGGTGTTATGCCGTGTTATGCATGCCCTCCAAAAAGGAAATCATACCGTTTCCAAACCTAACTGTGCCGTACGAATCATTGAAATGTCTGTGAGTTTTGGCTTTACGCTGCGCACGCTCCCGCGAGGTGCAACAGCCATGCATAACACGGCGCATGTGAACATTCTCCCCCCCCCCCCGTTGACCGTTCACGAGCATGCTTTCCCCCCCCCTCGTCAGAGTTGTGTAAAGGCCGACGGGTAATTCTGGATTTTGACAGAAGTTTTACGATCCTGTCCGTCAAAATGACGGGCAGCGAAAAGTCTAGCGCAACCTCTGATCTGGGGTCAACTTTGAATGTTGTGTCGACAAATTCTACGCATTGTGCTTTTTAAGTTTTAAATGTTCTTGTATTGGCTGTTAGAGCAGAACATATAATGAGAGCTGGACTTCATGTGTGTGAATAGTTTTGCCCTATTAGCCGTTACTAGGGGAATACAGCATGTACTTGTTATGGGGCCCAGAGGGATGGTGTGAAGGAAAATACTGTGCAGAACCAAGTATGGTAAAGGTGAAATATGGGCTCGTGTTCTGAACACTTCCAGCTAAATACTCGTGAAGTCAATTTGTTTAAATTATCTTGTGTTTTCCTTGTTGAAAAGCACCTGTAGCGTCAACTGGAAGATGATCTAAGTGGACCAAACCAGTTGGAGGTAATCACCTAAATCAATATCATACACTTATTTGATCTGATGTACTTTTGGTAATGATGATATTATTGTTTAGTGGAAAAATGTCGAACCAGGGAATTAGCCTTGGCTGGAGACTCTACACGCAGCACACATTATTGTAACCTGTTGCAGTGTTTTTGGATCGTCCCTTACTCATAAAAACAAGATTAAAGCTCTAACGGCTAACGGTTTATCAGGGATTGATATTTGTAAACTGTTATTTACCAGAATATTCCCATTGAGATTTTAAATGATTTTAAACAAGCAGCTCGCTAAAGAAAAGCAGTGTTGTTCAGTAACAGGACATTCACATTTCCACACAAGCAAAACACAGTGTTGATTAAGGCTTGAACAACAGCAGAGTTGTTAAACTGTACACTCTTACACAATGCAGTAAACAGTGAAGTCACAGAGAGTGGGCGAGAGATTTGGGACGTGGCCTCCAAACGAATCCGGATCCGGGGCAACGTTCCCAGAAACAAGGAATTTAAAACTATAAACTGTAAGAATGGATGTGGAGAGACTGTGAAAATGGCCACGGAAAATAAATGGTACTAATCTGAGAGCTGTGGTTGATATGACTTGACAAGCAACAGTAAAAGCAGCATTTAAAGGGCCATTAGTGTTTATACAATAATCTATTATCCACTTTCTTTCCTGTCAATATGCTCTTTCACTCATGGGTCACAGTTTAGGTTCACACACACACACACACACACACACACACACACACACACACACAACACACACACACACACACACACACACACACACACACACACACACACACACACACACACACACACACACACACACACACACACACACACACACACACACACACACACACACACACACACACACACACACACACACACACACACACACACACACACACACACACACACACACACACACACACACACACACACACACACACACACACACCACACACACACACACACACACACACACACACACACACACACCACACACACACACACACACACACACACACACACACACACACACACACACACACACACACACACCACACACACTTTAAAGTATATACACTACATACTGATATACACCTGAACATCAGCAGGAGAGGACTCTTTAAAGTAGAGACACTACATACTGATATACACCTGAACATCAGCAGGAGAGGACTCTTTAAAGTAGAGACACTACATACTGATATGCACCTGAACATCAGTTCATAATAATCTGTTAATAACTCTCTTCCTCCGCCTGTTTGTTCGTTATTTTTTCTTCAGTCTGTCACTCAGGACGGTATAATTTGCTACGCCTAGGACATCTGATACGGTGAACAGGAGGGTTATTATGTGGTGGTGATGCACCTAGTGCCGTCTGTGTGTGTTTACTGGTGTCAGAAAACCGTCTTCTGCACACTCTGTACCAACCTTTCAAGGTTCAAGGGTTCAAGGTTCTTTATTGTCAAACTAACATAGCTACAGAGTAATTATGTCGTTGGCTTCTCCAACAATGCAACACAATAATACAGATAAGCAGACAATATTAAAACATTATTAAAAGTAATACAAAAACAAAAATAATTCTAAAAAAAGTGAGAAAGTGGAATATTGCAATACGAGTCTATATACAAGTTATTGGAATGATATATTAGATAATAGATACATAATTAGTAGCAGATGAATGTTATGAAATAGTTTCAGCAGTTCAGTTGTTTAACAGTCTTATTGCCTGCGGGATGAAGCGGTCTCTGGATCTGGTTGTTTGTTTGGAGTTGGTAATTAAAAAAGGAGGAGTTTTTCATTCTCTCATGGAAAATACCAGAGAAAGTGTGATGGCATGATGCTCCTGCACACAGGTGCGCTGAGAACTTGTTTGGTTGCATGCTGATCAATGCTCTTATTTGCGCTGTGGTGGCCAACGATAGTGTGTGTTTGAGTTAGATGTGTCCTTGAGTCGGTGTGACGTGAGGACAGAAGGTGGGAACAACAAAACGGTTAAAGTGTTGTTGCACCTTGGTGTTGCATTACATTACATTGCATTTAGCTGACGCTTTTATCCAAAGCGACTTACAATAAGTACATTCGACCAGGAAGACACAACCTTGAAGAAAACAGAATCATAAAGTACATCAGGTTTCATAGAGCCAAACATTTCAAGTGCTACTCAACTGGCTTTAGATAATCCAGTCCTTTGTTAGTATATAAGTGCTTTGTTAATAATTCTATCGCTCGAAGTGAAGTCGAAAGAGATGAGTTTTCAGTCTGCGCCGGAAGATGTGTAAGCTATCTGCTGTCCTGATGTCAATGGGGAGCTCATTCCACCATCCTGG